TACGCTTCATCGGAATTTTCGACGATACGATTAAACTGGATTCAGTCTAGAAAGGTAGTTAAAGTACAGTAATTTAAGTAAAGATCGAGTTAATAAATGCATGAGCTGTAGTTTATTTGACGTTCAATAAGAGTTTAAGTTATTAAGCCTATATTGAATAACGATATTTTGACAGTAGTACATTTCTTAATAACGCTCTTCAAGAAATAGAATATATCCCCAATACATTTCCAATCTATATTTACGACGACCGCATATTTCGTTTAACTTTCAACCAGTGGAAATGAAACACCTGCGAAACCAATTTCCTATCGGCTTGCGGACTAAATCAAGCGGTCAAGTCCTAAGAACATTTGACTTTCCATCGATAGTTAATTTGGACTTGTTCAAAGAATGGAAAAAAGTGGTCTCATCCACGTTTCTCTGTTTATTTCATTTATAACAAAGAGGATTATCTTTGAAAGGCCTGTTCGCTAATGGTAATCGCTAAGGCATACTTAGTAATGTATAATTTCTAAGCTCACTAACAGCCCATTCCGTTTTGACTTAATGTTAAAAGACCCTCTGTACAGAGGAGGGCTGTGAATAGGCTGTTACTTTACTTTTTTAAAGCTTTACATGTTTTCTATGTGAAATAATAAACGCCGTATGCTTCGTCGCTACATTTAAAGAACTTCATTTATACAATCTGTAACTTCGACGAAATATTTATAAAATATTAAAAACAAAACAGTGGAACAAAACGGTAATCCGACAAACGTTTTGCAGGGCAGTGTTGGATTATCGAATTTGTCATATTATAGAATACTGCCTAGATTCCCCTATAGTCCGGAATTTTTGAAAAAGTGTGCCTTGTAATCCGACAAATTACAACACAAAATTATAATATTCTATCTGTAAAACAAAACATACTACATAATATGTGTGTAAATTTTAAAACAAAACGCGTCGAGCACAATACAGTGTAGTAGGTACAACTTGCAATCAAACAGCAATCAGTAGAAAATAAATTATTCTGTAATTTGACCATAAGCTTTAGTGGACGCGGATTTGTTACGAGCTCTTACCTCGGATTAATTAATTTTACTTATCAACATTTGTGGTGTTTGGCCCATGGAATTGTGAAAAAAAGTGAGACAAAGAGTATGAAGTCTAATTAATAGATCACTCACTTTATCTTATTCTTTAAACGAGCAATTCTTGTATATATATATAATTATATATATAATCGGAATCTCGGAAACGGCTCCAACGATTTTCATGAAATTTAGTAGATTCGGGGGCGAAAAATCGATCTAGCTAGTTTTCATTTTTAGAAAATGTTCTTTTATCCCTGTTTACAGGGAATGAAAAATATCATTCGAATATGACGGTAAATTTCGACAAAATCCACACCACCATTATTAAGCTTGTTTTTCTATTAATTCTAAATTTGTAGATACAGACTGCAACCGGCTCGTGTCATACTCCATCATTCCAAAGTACGCGTCAAAGAGAATGTAATCATTACGTTTACGCGTTTCGCTGACGCAATATTTCAATCCACTCACCGCTAATCAGTTTAAAAACGTATTCGGTTTCAGCTGAACGTTGACAAATGGGTGTCAAAAGGACCGACGATAAGTTTATTACATTCGATGTTAAATGGCAGCATGTCGTTGGAAACATTTAAGACCGTACACAATTTGCAAATCAAACTTTCATTAAGCGGCAAATAATGAAAACAGATTAGTTAAACGTATCGCGTTTCACTGGCAGATAATAAAAGCAAAAGTTTTTTGAATGTCTGTAACATCAGCCCATATACTGACTTCTGAAAACAGTTCACGTGTACAAAACTTAAAGTAACAGCATATATATGTCCCACTGCTGGGCAAAGGACTCCTCCGGACACAGGGTATTAGGGCTTAATCGCGGCCCCAATGTGGATTGGTGGACTTCACATAATTTCGAAATTTTTTTTTATGGTTTCGAAAATATGCAGGTTTCCTCACGATGTTTTTCTTCTCCATTGAGCACGTGAAAAGAAAGCACTTAAAATTAAACAATTCCCGGGGAATCGAACTCAGTATATTGAATTAAAAGCGACCGCCGGAACAATGGGCTATAACATGGAATGTTTGCCATTTACACGGTGATAAGCAGAGATGATAATAATACAAGCAACGCCGTCATATAACCACAAAAATATTACATTAACGAGTTCTCCGACCTGACCTCCTAATTAACTAAATTTTTTACTATAACAACTATGTGAGATGACTTAATTAATTGCAGATGAAAGAGAGTTTCCGAAAGCTCCCAATCATGCCGCTTAATTCCACAGAGCTTATCTCTTATAAATGAAACTATATTACAGAGCAAAGATAAATTAGCGGCGGATAATTAGTCTGGCCCATCAAAATAAAGCTGCGGCTACAACGGATCCGTAATGACTGGGAAGGCGAGAGTCATTTCTCCCTATTTTTAAATTATACCTTCGGTCGTGAGGGTTAATTAAATTAGCCAAGCAGTAGTTAATTTAATCGTTCGTTATTCAAATTGGATTTTCACTTCAAAATGTTTTCAGTATTTGTGGATTGAACTAACTGAGTAATTATGTACTTCAGTTTTTTCAATTATAAAAACTTAACTTAAAAAAACTAACAAAAGAAATAAATTAGCTCTCAAGGGGATAAATACTTCGTACTTTGGAATTCCTCTTTAAAGCCTATTTGGACTCTAAAACCGATGAAAGTTTAGCATAAAAAATCTAAAGTTTTGAGTATAAAAATAAATTTTGTATCAGGGTATTTTTGCGACCAACGAATATAAAATACCTGAGAGCCGAGTCGAGCCTTGGATTCCGCGATAAAACCTGGGGATTACAGTCATAATTCTTTCGTTACTTTTATTATAAAGGCTTGCACTATAAGCTTTTTTTGCAGGCAGACAGGCTCGTTCAAACCTTCCTGTTGAATCGCTATTCCCTATAGCTACTGAGTTAAAGGCAGATTCTCTGGGAGCCGCTTCCTCATGGCGGGCATTCCTCAAGGCTCCCTGCTCTTTTCATTCTACTTTGTAAAAAGAATCTCATGTTTTTAAAACAAAATTAATTTTAATTTAGAACTCGCAACCAAAACTTTTTTCTTTTTAAGTGGCCAGTATTGAAAAACAGCAATTTGATAGGTAGGGGAAGGTGGGGAAATGGCGTTCACTTGAGAGAAAATCGCTGTATTTTTGAAAATATCAATTTTCTACATATTAATAATAAACATCGTAATCTACATATTAACACCATACATATTTATCTTAGACTTATAGGTAATAGAAAAGTATTATTAAAAAAAACATGTTCGAACGCCATTGCCCCAGACTTTGAGTACTAGAAATTTTTCCAAAAAATGGACTGAAACATTTTTTGGAAAAATATCTAATAAGGTCCATTATCATTACAAATGTATTTGAGCGTAAAATACTTAGACCTATCTTTGATGGAAAATGAGAGATGGCGAACGCGTTACAACCAAGAGCTGTACCAATTATATGATGAGCCTGAGATTTGCTTGACCAGACTAAAGCCCACCCGCGGCTGTTATGCCTCAAATGATGATGATGACTATCGTGAAATAAACCTTAAATAATTAAAGTAAGGTCTACAATTACAAATGAGCATCAATTATACCTTTGTATGTGAGGTAAGTCGTATATAATTTAAAAAAAAAAGGTTTTATCTTCAACACCAAACTAACTTCATTTATTATTTTTAAAGGTAATCAATCCAATCCAGAACATAATATAGCATGAGACCACAGCCCGCAAGTAGTACAGTGATACCTCATTTCGTTATTTATACCAAATTCTTCAAAAATAATGGTGAGCGGTATAACCCCAAACGGTCCTTTAGCATTTAACTTGAAATGACAATGCCAGAAAATGTATGGAGCTTTGCCCCACTTATTAAAATTCGTTTACAAGCATGCTTAATGCGGCATTTTATTGCTGTTTTATAACTGATCACTAAACATTTAAACATACGTCCCTAAAACTTGCGGTTTCGTTTTAAATCTGAGTTGAAGTTTCAAAATTATTTGAGGTTATATACTTTTATAATGGTAAAACTGATAAAAAGAAATGCTATATTGTTAAAAGTTATTGCCAAAACCATGGCTATGAAATGAAGTAGGATACTCAAAGCAGAATGAACTACGTGACCACGATACGTGCAGGCTTTTTTGTATGGAGAGTATATTAAATGAGCGACCGCGATGCACGACACGTTAACCATACTAACACTCATAGATCACTTACACTCATAGTCGATGAAGCGACGCGCAACAGACAACAGACAGCGTGTTGCGTATCTCGATGGCGTAGCTTAAGATCTATCTTAATTCTTAACTGTATTACTAAACCTTGTTCTATCGTCTTTAAAGATATGGTAGACTGTTAGGACTGATTGGAAATAAAACAACCCCTTAGTAATTATGGATTTATTCATCTCCAAAAGTAAATAATACGTTATCGAGAAATGCTGCTGGAACATCAATATCATTTTGATGACGAGCCCAACCCAGGTACCATATAAGCGTCATTACATGACAACAACAGCCGAAGGTTCTATTGCCTACAACACAACTGCAGCAGTATCCCAATATCTGGTCAAACGCATGGATACTGCTAGGCTCTCTGTCGAATAAAATATAAGTGAAATAATGCCTTTGGCCAATATGCCTCGAAATGAATAGTTACCCCCAATACTATTAGTCATTTCTTGTGAGTGCTCCACTTCTGGACTCACCTCTATTAAATAGAGACCATGTTCCCTTATATGCTCCCCATAGTAAGAACGGGCCTGTTTAATTTGATATGGCCCTAAGGCCATAAGTGTTAATTCACTTAAACTAAACATGGGAAACTGCTGCAGTTGTGGTAGATTTCCATCAATCCTTATAAAGATGGTTCTTCGTCTATTTAAATTATATTCTTGGATGAATTGTGCTAACTGATTCGTCTCATTATAGTAATGTAATGCTCTTGATATGATTTGGTGTGCATCTGGTCGATCCTGAATCAATGGATGAAAAAGGTTAATCAAAGCCGCTACAATTAATAAATCAAATCATCCATTAAATGCAAAGAAGCCCTATTAAACAATCTTGCCTAAATAACTTAAAATAATGTTTTAATCGGCCATTCACCACCTCAACAACAGATCTGCATAATGTTACACAGCGGCTTTTGTTTGCCTGTAATGTGGTTAATTGTGTTTCACCTTCATCCACTGATTCAGGCTTAATTACTTTATAGCCATAAGATTCTAAGGCCGTTATGCTAACTCTAACACCCCTATCTAATATAAAAATATCATTTTCTCTAAAAAAATTACCTCATTTTCATTTTCAAATAATTTCTGCATTATTTCAGCATCAGTTTGTGTTGCTGCATATGGGCCTGACATATCAATAACATAACCATCACAGGCAACAATGAGAAAAGACTTTAGTAAATTATTATATTTATGTAAACTATAAGTTTTTTTCTGGTAAAAGTAGCTACTTTTTTGAATAAAAATGTATGTGCCGTCACAAATAGCTATAGCTGGCATTTCTCTTGGAGCAATTAGATTAAGTAGCTACTTTTACTAGAAATAAAGTTATAGTTTACATAAATGTGGTCAGGCATCTCATTTACATTTTCATTTGTGTGAAAAATTTGTCCTAATATAATAATATATTTACATATTCAAAATCAAATAATTCTGCATGTCTTTCTAAGATTCGAATTAAATCCTCTATTTGTTTAGCTGTAAAGCTGTTAGTTAAATTGCTGTTCATCATTCAATGTGGCCCATACATTGGCATATAAATGTAATTCACAGACACATGCACTCACTGGCACATATATGTGATATTGCTTGAGAAGCATGATCTTTAAAAACAAAGGAATTAGGTGCCCAGATTGATTTGCACAGCTTTGAAAAATACAATGTCTTGAAGTATTCACTGCATGTTTATAATGGGGCAGAAAAATAAATCCGTTGTTAAATACCATTGGAACCTCTTGATCTTGAGTTGGAGATGGTGGTGGAGGTAGTGGGGGAGGTGTTCCTGGTAAGAAGATCACAATAGTGATCTGTCTCTGCTTGACTCTTAAAGCATCATGTGATAGTACGACAGGCGATTAACACGCATCAAACACAGATGGCAAGCAATTCCATCTCTTGAAATCACCTGTTGGTAATAAAATGAAACATTTGAATTAAAACATTGTCTTTCTGACTGAAACTACACTAATGCTACCTATTAGAGCAATAGCCTCTGACTTTATAGCAGCATTAAATGCATTTTAATTCATTAAGTACCTAGTTTTTATTGTGAAAGAAAACATTGTAAGTACTTACTACTTACTACAAAGCAATAACTTCTTTTTATTGATCGTTTATGCGTAGAAAGTAATGCAAATGGCCGCCCGAGAAATAGGAAAGTCGACGAAGATGGTTAAATTACTTTTTTTCTTTAAGTTTTTTTATCCGCAAGTTTTATATTATTTATTCAATTTCCAATAGTTATATAATATTCATTACATAATTTTTGAATATTTTTATTTTGTGTAAACGAAGCAAATTGGTGGGGCAGAATCTGGCATTGTCCTTTATAAACATTCATACACAGTGCTTCCAAATAAGTTAAATTATCAAAAAATAGAATAGTTTTATACTCTAAAAAAAGAATGAAATCAATAATGTCATCGAATCGAAAATTAAATGAGCACAGCCGTATACGGAGAATCACACTTCAATCTTCATCGTCACATGCCGCAAGCTGACTGCCCGTACTCATTGCTGCCTGTTAGAGGTCCCCAAACCCCGCGCTTCACGCGCCAATGCATATTCCTATGTTTAATTTTCACAGAGTAACAGAGGTGAGCGCATTTACGTAGAGAGCGCTATTACCCCTGCTTCCCATAAAAACCTATTATTGTATACAAAGATATCCTGTAGTATAAACTAATCATAATTATAATATTATTAATCACTTCACCCTGCCCCACATTAGTATCAACATTTCACCCGTGCGGAGCCGGGTAGGGTCGGTAGTATGTGATATTTTTCAGATTTAACGTATTAATACCGTGCCAGCGATGCATCTCCTGCATATCTCATTCCGCCAGAGATGATGAAGGTAGACTGCGCGTCTAAGTCAGTCCTTTTTCGCCACGGCGGCCTTCGGCCGAAGAAACGTGCGGCTGCGGCGTTCGGCGTCGAATTCATCTTCGTGTCACAGTGTAATAGATGAAAAGTTAAACGAAAATTGAAAGTAGAAGAACATGGAATATAGAAATATAAGAATCACGTCCCAAATATACATAGCTATCAACAATTTCGAGTGGTGAGCCTCCCAACAATACGTTGCGTTTGAGCGTCACGTGCACATTTGACACGACTTTGGTATTTTCCATGTTCATTTTCAGGCCCCCCGCTGGGAGAATCTATTGAGATCTTAGAGCATTGTACTGAGCTCCTATCGGCAAACCGAAGATGAGTGATGTATTCGCCGTTGATATTGATGCCACATCCTTTCCAATCCAGAAGCATGAAGGCGTCTTCCATTGTACTGGTAAAGAGTTTCGAAAAGATAACTGCTCCTTGCCGCACTCCCCTCTGCATCGGAATAGCCTCCGTGCTCTGATCCTGTACTCGGACGGTGGTATATAGTACTATAGCCTTCACGGAAACCGGCTTGTTCGGCAGGCTGGAAGTCATCAAACCTGCGTGCGAGACGATTCGTGATCACACTAGAAAACAGCTTATAAACATGGCTCAGAAGAGAGATAGGCCTGAAGTTCTTCAGCAAGGTTTTGTCATCTTTCTTGAAGAAGAGGACCACCATGCTTCCGTTCCATGTTTTCAGCGTAGTACCCTCGAACAGGATGGAATTGAAGAGCTTCTGAAGGACTTTCAGTACCGGTGTTCCACCCGCTTTCAGAATCTCTGATGTAATTCTGTCCTCACCCGCCACCTTGTTGTTCTTAATCTGCTTGAGGGCCATCCTTATCTCGAACAAGCTGTTGTCTGAGATATCTTCTGTACAGTGTCGAGTTCGTTTGGCTCTTGGATCTTTAACCAAATCGTCAACAGGATTGGCACTCGAGGTTTATAACTGTCCGTAGAACCTTTCGATCTCCCTCAGTACCTCTGACTTAGTATACGCTACACTGCCGTCTTCCGTCTTCAGCTTCGTCAACTGGCTCTGCCCAATAAAAAAGTCTCTTGCGAACATTTTGGAGCCCTTATCCTGCTCTATCGTATCTTTAATACGATTAGTATTAAATTTACGGATATCATGTCGTAAGGACTGATAAATCCATCTATTGAGCTGCCGATATGCTTCAGCGTCCTTGGAAGTCTGCAGCGTCATTGAGCATCGTTCTGCCATAAGGTCGAGTGTATGGTACAAATGGTCCAACAAGGCAAATCCAACTTTGAGAAGGAGCTCTATCGACCAACCCAGCTCGGCTGTTCGAATAATTGCGCAGCGTCTTTACGTCCAAAATACCACAGTCTTTAAAGACGAAAGTTTTTAATCAGTGCGTGCTACCAGCGATGACCTACGGTGCTGAGACATGGTCTCTCGCTATGGGCCTCATTAAGAAGCTCGCGGTCGCACAGCGCGCTCTGGAGAGGGTTATGCTTGGGGTTTCACTACGATATTGAATCAGAAATGAAGAGATCCGTAGAAGAACTAGAGTTGCCGACGTATCAGAGTGAGTCAGCAGGCTGAAGTGGCAGTGGGCAGGCCACATAGCTCGAAGATCCGATGGCCGTTGAGGCAAAAAGGTTCTCGAGTGCAAACCACGTGACGGCAAGCGCAGCGTAGGAAGGCCTCACAAGGTGGACGGACGATCTAGTCAAGATCGCAGGGACGCGTTGGATGCAGGCTGCGAACGACCGGTCGAAGTGGAAGTCAATGGGGGAGGCCTGTGTTCAGCAGTGGCCGTCCTACGGCTGATATGATGATGACGATGATGAAGAATCACGTCGTTCATTATAAAATTGCTTTTATCTGAACGTCTGCTACCTTGTTCATTACAGGCCTTATCAGGGATACATCGATAACTTAAAAGAGTTCTATTCAGAACTATTTTATTGCTGTTTCGCGTTTTAATAAACGTCACTTGTAATATACAACCGATAATATACAACCCATAACTGCCCCATAATATACAACCGATTACTTAGTCGCGCCACGGGCATGTTGTATAAGGAATACCGAATTACGTGATAACCTTATTATTTCAATTTTGTCCAACACTTTTAAAGTATCTTCGCTTTTAAATATATCTCGTGACTAAGAGAATAGAACTACTCATTCCACTTTTATTGAATTTTTTTTTGAAAAAAAAAAAGGCACAGAAACACATACAAGAACCAGAACAGGTGCGACAGATATTCTCAAATAGATCAAATGAAGTAGAGATGGACGGGTTATATGCTATGCCCTGAAGATGAATGGAACAATATTGAAATATTGAGAAAGGTTTCCCAGAATGGTACCCTAGAAACGGGAAAAGAAATAGAGGTGGACAACGCAAAAGATGGGAGGACGATCTTAAATAATTACCACCAATTGTGGGATGTAACTGGAAAAGAGTTGCAAAGGATAGAAAACAGTAAACATTGTTAGAGGAGGCCTTTGCCAGGAAGCACAACGAACTCGGAGACATGTCATAACAGAACGTATAACAGTAATAACATTATAAAAAAAGGAGTTTCGAGAATATAATTACGCTATATAAATAAATAAATATAAATAAAACTTATTCCACTATCAATTGCGTTCCAAGCCGGCAGAGAACCTTAATAACCGTATCGTAACCGCAACCTGTTGATAATTGTCCACATTCGTTAACTGGGGTCGCGGAGATTCAGCCGCACAAACAGTGTCATCTTCTTTCTTAAGTAAATGGCGTCTCAAAGAATAATTCTGCCAATATCATGTCACACAGATAACGTCATCGTGTTGTCATATTTAACATTGACGCAGCTGTCAAAGTCATCGAGCTAACAGCAATCTATGCGAAGGAGGTACACAAAAACGTGTGTAGGTACCTATTATGCACGAAAGAAGTTATACTTCTTTAGTGTACCAAAAAATATAACTAAATATTTAAATATTTTATTTTACCACGTATACTTGCAATTGATAACTTTTTTAATAAAAAATTTGTAATTATTTATTTTTTAGGAGTAATATATAGTCTAAAATTAGTATAAATATGATTTCTTCTCAAAGAGAAATATTATTTGGGCATATAATTATTATTTTAAAATATATTCCATTACGAAATTTACAATCGATTTTAGATAATCATGTCCCAAATGATTCATGATGACAAGGATCATCTGTCACGCTACCATAATAACAAAATAAATGTCATTTTCTTGTAGATACACAGAACAAATAGTGTTAGATTCAAATAATTTCTATTCTATTAGGACTAACAGCCTCTGTAGATAGAAATGATGTCGGCGGATAATTCGCCAATAAAGACCTCCAAATCATTTAATGAAATAGAGTCCACCGAAGATTTTGAAAATCAGGTAGCACCAATATTGTTTTTATTTCCTCGTCCTACCTTAACCAAAACATTATGCTATAACTTGCTCCAATTTCAGGATACATTGTTAAAACATGTCGACATATCTATTGTGGAATCTGAGAAACGGGCGAACGGTACCCTACATGTACGTGATCACTACACGGTGTATCTAATTGACCTAAAGTAAGACTTATTTAACAGATGTGTTATAACTATTATTATGCAATTAGTAGCTATTGGCATAATTCATGCGCTTATATACAATTTCATTTTCCAGTTCTGATGCAATAAAGTAAAAAAAATGCTTCATTTGATGATTTTTGAAAATATGTTGGATCTCTAATATATTTTGGAATTCTATGTTTCGCCTATATTCCATAATTGACAATAGTAACACAGTTATACTGACTAAACTCGAATTTCAGAGTAACAGATACAAATTATCAACTAGTACAATCCAAGTTGAGTACTATTTGGAGGAGGTATACAGAGTTTGAGCAGATTCATGATTATCTGCAGGTTACATATTCTCATGTTGTCATACCACCACTGCCAGAAAAAAGGGTAACTTTTTATTATAACACTTCATAATAATATACTACCTGACTTACTGTTGCACACATGTCTAAATTTGATGAAAATGTACAAATTTATTTTGAATGAGGTAATGGAAAACTTTATTTTAAGTTTACCTTTTTCCCGTACTAAAAGTTATTAACCTTTTAAAACTTTGAACCTTACCTAAATCAATGTTAATCGCAAATGTATATTAGTGAGATCAATAAGTAAATTTTATAATTGAAGCCATTTGCATGCTCTAGGTATTATATGCTTGGCGTAAGTCGGATACAACTGACCCAGAATTTATAGAAAGGAGGAGGGCCGGTCTAGAGAATTTTCTTTTACGGGTAGCCTCACATCCGAGGCTATGCTTTGATGATCAATTCATAAATTTTCTGCAACAAGAACATGGCTGGAGAGAAACAATTACTGATAGTGGTAAATATTATTTGTCTTCTACCATATTCTAATTAAAGCTTTGCCTACATCTATATTAGATAATGCTAGTTTTCTTTAAAACTCAAATAAAATTTAAGAAGGAGAAGAAAATGACAATTTATTATGAAAATTGTTTGTAACAGGGTATTTATTATTGGCGGAAAATAAGCTGAAATCACTGTCAGTATCAATAAGACTGAAAAAACCTGATCCAGAAATTGAAAGTATTAAGAACTATGGGAAACAACTGGAAACAAACCTTGGAAACTTTTTGTATACTAGGTAGGTTTGAAAATCTCATGCAAATATATTAATTATTCTCTTGAAGAACATGAATCATATCATACATCTGTTCATACCACTTACCATCAGGTGGGATGGCATTCCAGTGCTGGCCAGTTTTGAATTTAAAAAAAAACTGAATTGTTCTGTGTAACTTACTAAGATTGGTTTTAACTTACTTATGAAATTATGTATTAATTATTTATGTAAACTTCGATGTTTCATAAGAACACTATGTATTTGAATAAAGATTATTTGAATTTTTAAGCTTACTAAAGTTCTTCAAAAGAATGTTTTTTTTTCCTTATATGGCTTTGCAGTGCAAGCCTGATTATACTAGTATTGTTAAAATTAAAACCACATCCTAGCCCACACATCCAGCATTGTGTAATAAAAAATCTTAAAATAGTGTAAACACTTGCTGTGATCTAAAAGCCACCTAGATCTCCTTTTTTAATATGCCTTATATTCAAAAATTCCACTATGGATACCTGGCAAAATCATATACCTTATCTTATCAATAAAAAAGTTATGTGTAATGGTATTTTAATATATCTCTTCATACTAATAACCTAATATTTTCATGTATTATAATTTGATTATGAACTGTGTGAAGTTGATTGAAACATTTTGTTTCCATTACAGATCTAAGATAATAGAAAAGAACTATGCTCTGTGCAAACTTCACGCTGACTATGGGAAACTGTTTAGTGAGTGGAGTGTTATAGAAAAAGAAATGGGTGATGGCTTGCAAAAGGCGGGTCATTATTTCGGTTAGTATTATGAGCTTATAGAAATTTTGAAATTCTTTTTAGAAAACCTCTTTATGTCATCGATCATTGAATCAAATTTTCTTCAGTTTTCTTTAAATTTAATCTTAATAGTCATAACTATACACATACAGATTTTATAACTGTATTCGTAAGTTACGGAATTATTACTTCTAATAATATTTGCAAAAATTACCATAAAAATGGTGGGGTTATTGTGTAAAAAGTAGGTCCTGGTCTCATAACTAGATATGGATGGGAACCTGTATTATGAGAGATTATTTAATTAAAGTATGCAACAATCCAATGTCATTTTGATTATGTATAGACAGCGTGTCGGTACAACCGCGACAATAAATTAACACACATATAGAGGATAACTTTTTAAAGTAGTAGTAAACATTTACGTTCTTTAAACATTAATATTTACCGAGTTATTACATTTTCCAAAACAAACAATTTTAGAACACCCTTACATATAAAACTGTAACGGAAATTTCATTTGTAAAAGTCATAAAGCATATGAATGGGTTAAATGAATTTAAAAGGGGTAAAACATATGGTTAGAAGGAGAAATTAGTAATGCGATGTTGCGGCAACAAATGAAAAAGTTTCTGAATGTATGAATCAGTCAATTGTAGTTGTATGGGATGTTACAAATTTTGTTTCTTTTTATTTAATTAGTTGTTTTTAACATTGGTTTTAATGTTTATATTTTTTTATGATTATTGGCAAGTAGCGTTAGACGTGTGTTAATTTATTGTCAAAGTGGTAATGACACTCTGTATATTTATGCTACTAAATGCTGAAGGCATACAAGACTTACAAATATATAAATAATTTAATACGGGCTCAAGTACAGATTCGCTTAACACACTATTTCTGAATTCTCAATTTTTCTATATTTAATTTTATTGAACAAACAGCCCTCAGTTGTTTTAAACTTTTTAAAGTGGCAAACGCGCTGGCGGTTCACATGATGTTAAGTGATAACCGCCGCCCACGCACATTTGCAACACCGATTGCAGATGTGTTGCCACCTGTTAATAATGTGGACCCCGGCTACCTCACTCACCAGACAAAACGCAGAAGCGTAACACTTCAACTTCACGCCGGTCTCCTGTGGGGTCGTGGTACTAACCCGGACGGACCTGCCCATTCGTGCAACGGCGAATACTGTTGCGTGGTCCTACCACAGTTATGTACACATATATATCACAAATGCCCAGATCACAAGAACTTATTTACATTATACAGTTAAAATATGTCATTGTGAACAGTTTAGGAATCAAAATGTATTAAAATAAAGAAAATTATAGAAGCTAGTAATATTTATAAAAGAGAAAAAAATCTAATAAACGATGTTAGGATTAAAACCTTAATGCAAGCTTTAGCGCGCATTAATTTTGGGTACGAGCGTGTGAATGTCTGTACGTGTGACTAAGTGTGTATAACTAAATTAAAAAGTAACAGCTATACATGTCTCACTGCTGGGCAAAGGCATCCTCTGTACAGGGGGTATCAGGGTATAGTCCAGCATGTGGCCCCTTTGTCAAAATATTATTTTTTGTTATTATTTAGAAAATATGCAGGTTTCCTCACGATGTTTTCCTTTACCGTTGAGCATGTGATAAGTCAGCAATTAAAATTAACAATTTCATCGGTGCCGGCACCGGTGATCAAATTCAGATTGCTCAAGTGTATTGAATAAAGGGGAGTGCCCGGACACTGGTCTATCAGGTCTCCATTTTCTACATACATAATTATTATTCACATATAGTTATCAAAAATTTGTTTAGTGCATCTTAAGTTAAATGTACACTGCGGTAATGTTAACGCGATCTCAAACATTTCCAGACTCGATAGCGGACAGCATAGACGCGGTGGCCGAAGACGAGGAGCAAATTGCGGACCAGTTGAAGGAGTACCTGTTCTACGCTGGCGCCCTGCAGCAGCTTTGCAGCAACCACGAGGCCCTGCAACGGAACCTTGAGGTCGCTCAAGACACCCTCAACAACAGGTGCGATACCTATTTTTGGTTTTGCGACTATTATCTGGAATAATATAAAGATGTAATTACTCTCTAACATATACTCTAAGTGATATAAGATGCATAGTTACAATAGTACCTATACAGGTTTAACTGTATAATTGTTAACTGTGTCATTTGACGCAAAAAAAAAAAGAAATAGTAGAACAGCCTTCGGGTTTGCTGAGGGATAATTAGGATCTTGTTAAACTGGAGGTTGTTTAAAGGCTTTAGTGTAATTGGATAACCTCAACTCGGGATAATGCTGCACAAAGGCAGAAGACTGGTGGACATCTTTGCTGTGTTCCTAGTTAACTGTTACTTGTAAGACCACAACATGAAAGTTTGACAGCATATATAATTTCTCTAGTATTGTTAACATCAACGGACTACGGAAAGTGAATTGACATTATAAGGTGAGCTGTGGTTGTCACTTAATATAAAGTGAACTTTGAGTGGCGGTTTTTTGGTCTAAAGAAGATAGATTCCACCTAGAAATCCCTTATGTAGGATCTAGATTCCCTTAATAATGGTGTGTTGTTTGAAAGAAGAACCCTCTAAATGTTTAACTAGGTAGAAAAAGTAGAAGTGGAAGAAAAGCTGTTTAATTGACATCAAAATACTGAAAAAAATTATTCATAGTTAAGTAAAGTAACAGAAATTGATTGTGTGATGTTAACCAGCGAAATCAGGTCCCAGCAAATTGCTATAGTATTTACGCGCTATTTAACACCAATTTACAAATGGAGTCTTCACGGACGATAATACAAGAATTGAAAAAAAAACAACAACCTAACTAGGTACACTCGAAGCTTTTTGCTGACCGATTTTTTTTTTTATCTGAGACCACTTCTCAAGCGAGCTGGCGGTTCACCTGAGTTAAGTGATATTTTCTGCTCATTGATATTTGCAACACCCGTATGGTTGCGGACGCGTCGACACATTATAGTAAAGTGGGCCCCGGCTATCTTAACAACCAGACGATACACACAAGTAACACTACCACGTCACGCCGGTCTTCTGTGAGTTCGTGGTGCTTCCCCGAATGGACCTGCCCATTCGTGCAACAGTGTGGCACTGTGTAGGCTGTGTAACCAGTGCGTGTTGTTTCAGGATAGCGGAGCGCGGTCGGGCGGCGGCCGGCAAGTCGGGGCTGATGTCGCGGCTGTTCGGCACCACGGAGCCGGACATCGTGCGGGACCAGAGCACCCGCGCGCTGGACGCCAAGATCCTCGCCGACCGGCTGGCGCTGCGGCGGGCGCACGAGGAGCTGGAGTGGGTACAACTCCTGCTTCGTGTGGGAACGGTGGGGCCGTGAGGGACGAGGTGGCGGCGCATCTGCAATCCTACGTTGCAAGTTGGCAGTAAGCACCGAGGTGGCAACGCATGGACACATGCAACACTACGGGCGTTGCAAGTGTCAACGGGGAGCCAGTTCCACTGCCACCTTCTCACGTAACAAAAAACTACCGCTGCGACCTAGAAGAACTATTGTATTAAAATTTGTTGAAAATATGATGAGGAGTCCCTAGCCGCTGTGGGAATCGAACCCACGTCTTCCAAAATCAAAATCAAAAATATATTTATTCAAATAGACGCTTGCCCGCTCTTATGAATCGTCAAATTTTACATCAAAGTTTATGTGTATAGGTTCGTAAGGTACCACCGGTCTCATCCGGTGATCACTTACCTCTTATTTCAAATATAAATCAAAATGCTTATCACGATTACAATAACTTTGATCTTGTTTTTTCAGGGAATTCACCAAGAAGGCAACGGTCGAAATTGAATATTTCCAAAAGCAAAAAGACAAAGATCTGCACGAGTCACTCGTAAGCTTCATAACGCTGCAAGTGAAAGCCGCTAAAAAGGTGAAAAGATATTTAACAACAAACAAAACAAACTAGAAAAGAATACACAAAGATATTCACTTTTGAACTCAGGACCCAGGGCACTGTGGTTGTGTAATACGGAGTTTAGTTAGTTTTTAATAGTTTAATGTTAGACATAGTTTAAAGAAAATATTTAAGACATACACCTGACGTTTAAGAAAAATTAATAAAATAAAATATTAAATTTACATTAAAAATTGAATTGAATAAAATATTAAAGTATCAATTTGGGCAACGTCGGAATGCTCATACTGTATTCATTTCTTTGTGGAGTAGGGCTATACAGCATAAAGACCAGCTTGAAATGGAAATATTGTTTTTTTGCTTTTCCTTTGGTGAGAGAGGTAGCCGCCAATTTTGAAGTCTCCCAATGTACCTGCAATCCAAAGGCCCATATAAGAACATGAGCATTCTATTTTAGTTACTTTTACAACCATTATAGTTCAGTGTTCAGACGCTCGTTTTTAATTCAATATACTCGAGCCACCCCAATTTGTTTAAGTGCTAATTATCACGGTGTAGAATAGTGTAGAACTTTAGTTTTACAAGAAACATCTAAAATAAAATGTCACAATCCTTATGTGTCATATCTTTTACCTCTCTTTACTATCTATGAGAAGTGTTATTTCCTATCTTTAAAATGTATGTCTGCTTTTCAATTCGGTTTTAAAGCTATATTTATATTGTTTCAGAACTTACAGGCGTGGACGCAAATCAAGGAGTGCATTCAGAATATGCCTTAGGAATTTTATTGGGCCCACCGACCAAGTGCTTCAACCAAATTTACCTACAGATCAACATTTATACTTATGTAAGAGCCTTAGAACTTTTATAAAATTTAAGTAGGTTACCTCAATTGAATTTTCCTTGTCATTTATAAAAAGGAATAGTGTTTAGCGGAAATACTTTGAAATATTTTGTGTATGGTACAGTCAAGGAGAAAATGCGCTTTAGTAACTTAGTAAATTTAACTATAATTGAGCATACAATTTAAACAAATAAATTAAGTATTACGTTGGCGCACGCTAAAAATGCAGTAATGTCTGTTTGTCCAAACCTGTCACGAGAAGTAATAGTTTACTTTCTATATAAATATATGTGTATTTCAATTTTCATTTCAATCAATGTTCCACAACTATAACTACTTGCACTTCAGAATAGAATATTAATATTTTAATAACATTTTGAAAATCTACACTTCATGTACACTACTACATTTTAATATCTACAAACGGAATTTTAAAGCAAAAGGGTTTGCACTCGACTGTACCCATCATTATGTTCTTTGTTACAACTGATCCGAGACTTTTTGTAACTGACAGAATCAACAATTAACCATTTTTAATTTATAATTAAATTCCATTGCATAATATCGACATTTTAAACAACTTAAAGACAATTGATCTCTGTTATTTTGAAGGCAATGTGGCGTTTGGCATTTATAATTTTATAAAGACAAACTATCAGGTATCATTAAATTAAAATAACTAAGTTTGTATTAACATAAATAGCAATAAACTTTTCGCTCTTTAAATATAATTCTTGTCGTAATGTTTTTAAGAAATTTATCGTATACAGAAGGTGGCTTTTCTAAAGGTGCCCAAATTCACACAGGATGTTCAGACTCGGTAGTATAATCGTTTATTGAAATAAAAAGAATTTTTTTATTTTTTTCAAAAAAGAATGCCATTCCATTCCCCAAAAAACATAACTTGTTGATAATGCGATAGTCATTTATAAATGCGTCGTATACTTTTGAAATGAACTTGTGTGCGTGTTAGTTATGAATGATCGCACATAAAATAAATGAGTTGCCCATAAATAACGCATGTTTTGAGATAAGTTCGAATGAATGTATTTAATTAATTACAAGTGATTTTAAATATTTATCATTTTTCATGTAACATTATTTATGTCTAGAATTTAATAAAAAAAATGGATACGACTTAGAAAAGCCTCCCTGTATATTTAATAACTATTCATTTTAATAAGATGGATATATATACTAGAAAGCCTTTTACATACGTTATTCTCGAAATTATGCGTGATATTTCAATGATTTAATATTTGTGGTTACTTGATTATAACCCTGTACACAATAGAAGTCTAGATGGATGATTCTGCATATGCTGGCAACTCTGTATATAACCAAATCGATTGAAGTTTATATAGCAATAATTTAGTAAATGTAAGGTACCCTACGTTTTGACTAGAGCTGCTTATTTGTATACATCTAATGTAAGGGTCTATCCACTAAAATGTAAAAATTCATTTCTTGCTATACTGAAACTTTCAACATTAAATTCTTTAACATTTCGAATACCTGAGCAATATTCTATACTGTACCTAGTCAATATTATTTCTAAAACATCCCTCCTTGAGGGCTCTTTGATCACAAAATTCATAAATGACGCTTTGCTGTGTCGATACCCTAATTCGCCTTTTTCATGCACAACGATAGTTCCACAAGAGTTATTTCAAAGTTTACAATAATTATATATTAAAGTTAAGTTGATATTTTTATACGCGTATAGATAACCTTATTATTTTCCTAATGATATTAATGAGAAATGTAATATATTTGTTAAAATTGAGAATTTAGAGGGACGTAGACGCTTTGCGAGTCGAAAGTAGTTAAGTTGGCTCTACAGATCGGAGGCTAGACCCACCATGAATGTTTCCTCGTAAACATAAAAACTGTCTACATAATAGATTATAAATAATTATTGTTTACAATACTCGCTGTGATTTGAACACCGACACTTCGTATTGTAATATAAAATGGTTATTGGGATGGTAATTATTATTTTTTTCATTAGCTGTATATCAAATCAAATATTATATCCGGTTATGATTTATTTCTGTTGCCTATGTTTAACTTTATTATGTAACCAAGTTGTAATTCCGATTAAATACGATAATTTTTCGAAGCTTTGTATCATTTGTGTGTGTCATATTTTTACCTCTTGTTTGTTTTATGTGAATAGATGGCAAATGAGCGGGCGGTTCACCTGATGTTAAATGATAATCGCCGCCCATGGACATTTGCATCACCCGTAAGGTTGCAAATGCGTTGCCATCTTTAAATAAAATGGGCCCCAGCTATCACCAGACGAAACGCTCAGCGTAACGCTCCCACTTCACGTGCGTTTTCTACGAGGTCGTGGTACTTCCCCGGACGGACCTGCCCATTCGTGCAACAGCGAAGACTGTTATGGCCCTACCACAAATAAAATTGGTGTTAATGCCACGTCCTTTCCAGTCAAGAAACTTGAAAACTTCTTCCAATGCACCAGTGAAGATTTTCGGGGATGTCAAATCATCCTGTTACATACACCCTTCTGCAGTCGGATGGGGTTTGTCGTCATCACACATCTGCAACCCTATGGGTGTTGCAAATGTCCGTCGGCAGCGGTTACCACTTAACAGGTGAAATGCAAGCTCGCTTGTCAACTCGCAAAAAAAAATCAATGGCGAACACGTCACCCTACTTCGATTTGCCGGTGACATAGTCATCGTAGCACAACCGCTGGAGAACCTTGGTGCCATGCTCAATGACCTCAACAGTTTCTCCCAAAGGGTGCGCCTTAAGATGAACACGGACTAGACAAAATCATGTCTATTATCCATGTCACGCCAATACTGGCTGTTCTTGGGAGCACTGTGCTCAAAGTTGTTGATGAATACGTTTACATTAGATTAGACAGTCCGACTAGGTAAGTACAACTTTAAAGCAGAGGTCCATCACCGAATCCAACTCGGATGGGCAGCGTTCGGGAAACTTCGGCATATCTTCTCATCTAATATCACTCGATGTTTGAAAACCAGATTTCAATCAATGTGTATTGCCATTGATGACGAACGGAATCGAGACACACTCCTTCATAGCTGGCCGTATGTAAAAGCTCAAAGCTCTGCGTGATAGAGTTCTCAACGAAGACATGCGCAGTACAACAAAGATAACCGACATAACTCATAACATTAGCAAGCTGAAGTGACTGTAGTGTATGGGCCGGCCATATAGCTCGTAGAACCGATAACCGTTGGGGAAGAAAGGTTCTTGAGTGGCATCCTCGTACGGGCCATCGCAATGTAGGATGACCCTTCATTAGATGTAGCGGTGACAAGTACAAATGTGCGGGAAGTCGACAGATGCAGTTAGCTTAGGATCGTGCTTAGTGGCAATCTGTAGGGGAAGCCTATGTTCAGAAGTGGACTCAAGCAGGCTGAAATGATGATGATGAAGATATTTGAACTCGGTTTTGTTTTTTGTTAGGCAAAATGTTTAAGAGCACCCCAAATTTGAATAGTCGTCGAATACGTCACGCCTTGATTCTTCTTATCTATTTTGCTTTTGTTTAAGTAAACGAAACACCAGATTAGATTCGAAGATATCGTCTTATCTTATTGTAAGTTTGCTAGCTCTGTTACTGTGGTGATTATTAGAAATAAAATCCTAGTTATATCCTTTGCAGATGCAATTGTTTATTATTCGATTTACATTTATGCATGCTGATCAAAAATTACTTGTTGACAGAATGTTTACTTACATTCTTTTAAATAAATTAATCAAAAATTCTAACGCGTTATTAACGATTAATTAATCATTAAGACTGTTCCTGATTTTTGGTTTTTATAGCCTAGACATCTTTATCGGCGAGATGTGAAACTTAATTTAATCAAGAAAAAAATTAAATTCTTTTGATTAAGAAAAGTTCCAACATACGCAATAAATTAAGTATATATTTACAAGAAGCTCTGTTCGGTAAGAGCTTAGACTGTGGTAGCATTTTTTTAAGGTTGTCAACCCCACAGGTATCAAAATGTCCATGGGCGGTTGTAATCACTTAACTCGCTTGCTAACTTTCCACAGAAAGTCAAGGAAAGTCCCGTGACCAAACTAAGATACCGTCGCATTTTTGTGCAGGCTGTGATCAGAATTGAGCGGCTCAGTTTTGGCGCGTTAGTGGCATATCTAAGTCGTATTTGTATATAACATTTAAATATAATATGAAGAGAAGCCATTGACTTCAAGAAATCAAAGCGAGTGCCCTCTAAATAAGAAAACACGAATTCTTTATAAGGCTTAGTTGCTCAAATTGTGTCAATCAGTGGATTTTGTCAGTGCGATTTGGGATTGGGTCATTAGGACCTAAAACCGGAGGTCCGTGATAGCCGAAACATGTAAGAAATCCAAGAATCTGGACCGAGTAATTTTCAAATTGCTTCAGATACTAAAAACAATGTAGATGAAAGACGTTGAGATTTTCGTCGGTGTGCAATCAGCCGTTTAGCTTTGTGGCTAAAGCGTCAGGGCGCCAATCCCGAAGACATTAGTTCGAGTCCCATTGCGGCGACAAACTTCGTACTTTTTTCTACAAATTTTAAATTATTTTCACGTCATCCGATGTAGTTATCACAAGACTCTGCCTTCATGATGCTAAAGCTGCGTAAGACTTGTAATATATAATTATATAATGTATATAGAATTAATTTGGTTATAACAATCTAATCAATCAATTAATTAATTAGTTTTTGATAAGACTGAACTGATATGTTTTTTTGTGTATAAGACAAGAATGAATTGTAATAATAAATAAATTATGTTGGTTGCTTCATAATAAAGAATGTCGTGGTCTATGCACCATGTCTTTTCACTAATTTCACTAAAGTATTTTGTGTCGTGATGGACACGACACAAAAAACAAGATGAGTTTTCAGATGTTCGGTGTATCCTATGCCTGTGTTTTTTTTTTAATCTTTCGAAACGTAACAGTATTTGTTTCTTTGTACGGGATTCGTTTTTTTTTTTTTAAATTTAAACCGGAATTTTTTTTACGCCGGTTTGATTCCTTGAACGTCTAGATCAATTTTACTAAACTAATTGATTGATTGCGTTTATTTTTTAGTTTTAGTTACTTACCAACGTTTGAAACTTTTCAGTGGCCATGATCACGGGATAGACTAAGGCGTTGGACGTCTTAATGTCATTGTTAGCCCGAATGTATACAGCGTGTTATTACCAAAGCGACAATAAATGAACACACACATAGAGGATAACTTTTTAAAATTGTATCAAAAATTTACATTCTTTAAACATCCATATTTACAGTTATTAAATTTTCCAAAACAAAGAATTTTAGAACACCCTTACCTATAAAAGCGTAACATAAAGTTCATTTGTAAAGGTCACAAAGCATATGAATGGGTTGAATGAATTTAAAAGAGACAAAACATACTGTTAGAAGGAGAGGCTTGTAATGCGACGCCGTGGCAACGAACGAAAAAGTCTCTGAATGTATGAATCAGTCAGTTGTAGTTGTATAGGATGTTACAAATCCAACAATACCATCGCGACAATAAATGAAAACACGTCTAACGCTACTTGCCAATAATCATAAAAAAATATTAACGTTAAACAAAATCCATAATTAAAAAAATATATTTTTCAAACAAACTAATTAAGTAAAAAAGAAACAAAATTTGTAACATCCTATACAATTTGCGCCACAGCATCGCATAACAAGCCTCTCCTTCTAACAGTACGTTTTGTCTCTTTTAAATTCATTCAACCCATTCATATGTTTTGCGACTGTATAAATGAACTTTACGTTACATTTTTATACGCAAGGGTGTCCTAAAATTCTTTCTTTCAGAAAATTTAATAACTCTGTAAATATTGATGTTTAAAGAATATAAATGTTTATTACAATTTTAAAAGGTTATCCCCTATATGTGAGTTCATTTATTGTCGCGATTGTAAAGACACGCTGTATGTTGCTCAGTGAATAGCGGCAGGTTTATCATGTGTTAAGTTTTTTTTATGGAGAAAAGTATATGTGTAGTAGTATGTGATCTCCGCCACCCATGAACACCTGCAACACCTGAAACACTAGAGGGCTTACAAATGCGTTTCCGGCCTTTTAAAAAAGAGTACGCTCTCTTCTTGAAGTAAGGTTCGCCGGTCGCAAAGGTTCTCGAAGGCCGCCGGCGGCAGCTGGTACCACAGGTTGGTGTGCGAGGCAGGAAATGCCTTTAAAATCGCGCTGTTGTGGAACGCTGGACATCGAGGTGGTGTGGATGAAATTCTTGGTTTTGGCGCGATGTCCGATGCTGAAATTCAGACGCCGGGATCAATCCAAACAATTCCTCGGAGCACTTTCCGTAATAAATGCATGTAGATGCACAGTGCCAAAGTACTTTGATCGTCAATAACTTTACCCTACGTTTAATGCGCTCAAATGGAAGAAGCTGGTAATAGGGGGCACCTGCCCAGAGATGAGGACAGTTCTCCATGTGGGGCCGGATTCATAGAGATTTAGGCGTTGAGCCGAAGTAAAGTACTGTCTCGCCTTGCTGCGCACACCGAGCTTCTTTGAGGCCAATTTGGCCTTACCTTCCAATTGACCTCGGAACTGGCCGTTGCTCGAGATTTCGACGCCAAGTATTCCGATACTAGCTGTGGACAGGGGATTCAAGTATATGTTTTCCCGAGTTCGGTGAGAAGTTCATTACTTACTTTCCCTAACTTTCCTATCAGATGTGAGTGTTCGTATTTTAGACATAAGAAAATTGTGACTAGGTCACATTATACAATATACACTGATGATTGGCGTTCACAGCTGTACTATATACAGCAGACTGTCAGTCCCATGGTAACTACTAATTGCCAGTATCGATTTATCGATTGTAACGCGTGCTCAACTTTGCGGCAGCGAAAGCGTTTTAAGAAAACCTATGTAACCATTTAGTCACCTACAACTTATTCACAAATAATTTGAGAATGAATATATCCTCCATATCGTTTTTATTTATTTTATTTATTTATTTATTCTTTATTGCAATTACCTTAAGGAAGGATTACAAGGGGCGAAATAATGCCATTTGGCATTCTCTCCCAGTGAACCCGGGGCGAAGTGACAAATCATATACTAAAGTTTATAGAATAATAATAGGTACCTAATGCCACATGTATCAAAATTTTAAATGTTAAGAAAACTATAATACGGACTGTTTATAATTTAACTTTGGTTTTAAATCCAGAAGTTCTCTCGTTATATCAGGAACTATTTAAAAAAATAATAAAGAATACAACGCGAAACAATCACGATTTTTTTTTATTCAACAATACTTCAAAATTTTTATGGCTGTTAAAATTTTCCTTGACTGATTATACCAATCATAAAGTCGGGAACGTAAGTCTATCGAATTTAATATCCAAAAAACGCAATTGTTATTGCCTTGTGTGTATCCTTTGCGATTGGCCGCACCTGCCCAGCACATTAATAATTCGTGGCAAGCCGTCATACTAATCGATGGAAAATGGGTCACTATTGTATCGCACACCGCCCGCTCAAGTCCACGTGACACCACGTTAACTAGATCGTTACATTTACGCTAAAGGGAACGAATCAGACTAACGGCCTAGTAGAATCCGATAGAATGAAGAATCAGCAAGTGAACGTGGATTATTGGTCGATGCTGAAAGCCATGTTTTTGTACGGTGCGCTGACCGCGCTGGGTTGGCTTATGCTGAGGCTTTTCAACACGGTGTTCATGCTGCCGGGACGGTTGCGGTCCCAGCAGGACAACGTACAGAGCTCGTTGAAGGAACTCCAGGTAACTGCTTGACGTGTGGTCACCGACATTCATGCACGTCTATAGTTTCCACACTGTGCTATAAACGAAGGTATAAGCTATAACATAGCACAATCACGCGTTATACGTTTGCGCCGTGGTGTGACGTTGGGCATAGCTGTCTGATGTAATCTATGCCTACCCACTTTTTTACGTCATAAAGTGTCAAGTGGGCAGGCGGTTCACCTGAAGTTAAGTGACAGCCACCCACGGACATCGGCACACCTTAAGGATTGTAGGTGCATTCATGACCAGTAAAAACGTGGGCTCTGGATACCTCACTGCCTCACTCAACATATGAAACGCATAATTATAATACTTCCACGCCATTCTTCTGTGAGGTCGTGGTACTTCGCTAGATGAGTCTGCCCATTTATGCAGCAGTAGAAGCCGCTGCTTGCCCTACAGTAGACTACATATATTAAATTAGTGAAGTAACTAGATTGAAGATTTACTTATAAATAGATGAAAAGTTGACCAGTGTCCGCACATTTGCAACACCCTTACGGCTGCAAAAGCGTTGCCACCTCTTAATAAAGCGGACTCGGTTTACTGCACTCAACAGACGAAACGCTGGTCGTCTGTGAGGTCGTGGTACCTCCCTGGACGGATCTGCTCATTCGTGCAACAGTGAAGACTATTTCGTATGTCCCCTGTCTCAATTTCTATTACAATAATTGACTTTATAATTTTGTTCAGTAATTGGAACTGTAGTATATGAATGTTCGAGCCTTTATTTCGATAGATCGATGTTCGATTAGATGAAAAAGGGACTGTAAGTAAAAGCTAAATGTCGTATATTATATTCCTCGAAATTCTGTGGCCATGTTTGAAAAGCTTTCACGTAATAAATTCATATAAAAACAAGGAACGAAGCACCAGACCTTTTCCTCTTTCCATGAATAAGAAACGATGCGATATGTCGCAAAAAAAGCTATACTATGGCTTACAAGAATCTTTTGACATTTACAAAAGCAACCATATTGCCATCGCTTTGGATCGCAATTGAAAGAAAATGCCAGTTATAAAATTATACATTCACTTTTAGAGACGCTTCCCCGACTTGAACATAACCGAAGAGGACTTGATAAACGCTGATAAAGAGCTCGAGAAGCTAATAAACGAAGAAGACGACAAAAAAACAAAAGATAGTGATATACCTAAAATTGAAGAACCGCCCGCTGAGGAAGATAAGAAAACTCTTTAATATCATATCCGATTTTTCATTTAAGATTATGATAATTCACGGGCGCATTTGAATGTTAAATGTTATTTAATTCTATAGAATTTAAATAAAAAAATATTGCTTCAGCTTTTAACTCAATATTATGCAGTATCACGAGTGGATGTTTTTAAATGACATTGTAGCGTATATACATTTTATACTATGATTTTTATAAGCAAGAAGGCTTTAAAACAGTCGGTTAACTTAATTAAATGATAACCGTCGACCTTAGACAAATACAACGCCGGTGGCGTTGCTAATGCGTTGCTCACTTTAATAAAAGTAGACCAATAGCCACCTCCATCCGTATGTAACCCGTGTCGTTACCACAGAAAACTATAGACAGTATACAAATTTAATTGTTTATAGTGCTAAACTCTGCTCTAAAGATTAAACATTGCCGAGCATTGTTTCAAATACTGAAAAAAACAATGTAGATAAAATACGTTAAGATTTTCGACGGTGTGGCAATCAGCCGTTTAGCTTAGTGGCTTAAGCGCCAGGCTGCGCACGCCGAAGGCGTGGGTTCGTTTCCCACAGCGGCGATATATAGAATACGGATTCAAGCGAATACGAATAAACAACAATATTCGGTCCAGAATCTCAGACACGGACAATCAGCCGAATAATTCGGTTAAATTTTAGGCTGTTAAACAGTTTCATGCCACTCGGCTAGGCTCTTTACGCGACGTTCGCCTTTGATAAACTTTTTCGCGCTTTTCATAAACCTTTTATATTTATGTTTTTTATTCAACAAATTAGCTACTATGCTACATTATAACTAAATTTTTGCATTTCTAACACTTATTGATTTATGTTACTGGTAAGTTTTAATTGCTTTAATTGTTTCTCTCTTACACATAGTCGTAAAAATAAAATAAAATTACCTGACATATGTCAATTTTTAATTTTGTGAGTTAGTTTCATTCACATATACTGTTTTAAATATATTTTTTTAATATTTTAATATACGTACCTTTTTTAATATACGTAAATCTTAAGATAATTTTTTTTTTAATATTTGGTAATCTTTTGCCAAAATAACCGAATATTCGGCCAAATTGAAACACACAAATTTCAAGCCAATCATACCAATGTCCTGTAGATGTAGAAATAGATGAAAGTGAAGCCTGTATTAAGAAAATCTATAAAATGATATTGTGTTTCGATTATTGGAAACATTACATATTGATAACTATAAACAATACCCACTATCATTTGAATACTATACCTATAATTATTTCAGTAAGATAGTCATGATATCTAATTGACTGAACGATACGTGCTTTCTGATTGTGTTTATTTTATTGTTTCTTTTTTTTATAAATCCATGTTGGATTTTTAAGTGAAATGTTATGAATTTTAATTTTTTTTATAGTGCTAATCTCTTCACTTAAGATTAAACATTAAAACTTGTAGAAAAGGTACCTTTTTTAATTTCGTGCCTATTAATCTTAAATGCAGAGATTAGCACTATAAAAAACTTTAAATTTCTAAAAAGCAATGACGACATCTCTCGTTCGAGTTATCGTTGTAAAACGATATTCGAAGACATGGGTTCGATCCCCACAGCGGCAGCAATCTTTTCGTACGAAGACATGGGTTCGATCCCCACAGCGGCAGCAATCTTTTCGTACCTTTTCTACCAGTTTTAACGAAACGTCTTCGACCATGGGAAACATCGTAACTTTCCTAATCGATACGATATCGAACATGGCGCTATTTTCATATTAGCATTATATCATATCAATGATGCGAACAAGATATAATACGAATAATATTTGTAACAATAGATACAGAAACATTTACTCGTAATACTACGATGCCATTTTTTTCCCTAGACGGCTTAGTCCGTTTTTAAGCCTTGAAAGAAATGGGCTGTTCTAAAATTGTGTTTGGCACCGTTTTAAAAATAATTTTATATCATGACTATATGGAAAACAAAATATCAGTGCAAGAGAGAGCATGAGTGCGTGTTTCGTGTTAAAATTTTCTTGTGTAAACACGTGCCCGGTACATTGCAAGCCTGATGATACATGATTCCTTTACCTACCTGTTTCAGAAAACATTTGATAAAATCTAAACTAAAAATATTCAAACTAAAGGAAAATATCGTTGTTTTACTCTCAATATCAAATCTAATTAAGAGCAAAGGCTATGCTTTATTACCTTATAAAATCAATACCAGATAGCAATTGAGAGCGATTGGAGTAGCTCGGTGAGTTTTAGTTCAGCCGCTCATCGATAGATGGTGTTGAAATATTAAACGGTAAAAGCTGACCGGCCCGGAGGCGTGGTTAGCTCCTCGGGCGAGCTTTCACCCCAAGTTTAATTTTATTGATCCGCTCCATTCACTCTCGTTTGTGTACAAACCAAAATAGTTATTAGCTTTATTGCACCTCTCTATATCGTCTGTTCGACATTAACAATCCGCTGCGATAAGGCCCGATGTATAGATATGGGCTATCAGCGCAGAGCGTGAACAGACAGAGACAACAGTGCTTAATCAGTTGTAAGAACGCAGCGAAAGCCGCCGGTCGCCGGTTGTTTTGCCGCTTAAAAGTATGTTTTCGTGCGCGCTTTAGCCGCCCACTTTGACGTGACCGAGGAGTGGAAGATGACCCGTTCCAGCTACAGGCCCCTTGTCCCGCGCACTTCCAACAATTCCCTGGAGAACCGTGACACAGAGTGAGTAGCGGACAATGAACTCTATTTAATATTGTTATTACTTTCCACTATTTGTTTGCACACACGGTTATCATAATGCCATACTTTAAAAGCACTTTGATGGGGCTTATAATTTTTATATTTATATAACAAATAATTCAAAATAAATAATTTGTTGATATGTAGTCAATTCACATTGGGGTCATATGTCTTAACACCTTCACAAAGGATTTATCTACCAGTGGGACACACATTAAAATTAAATGTATCACATTTCTATAAATACATGTATTTATAGAAATATGATACATTTACACATAATATTCACGTGCTTGTCTGTCTCTCAGTATAATAGTTCACTTAAACACTAATGCGTAATTTGTTTCTTTGTTCATTATTAACAATTTTAAAAGGATTTGTTGATGCTATTGATTTTGATGATACAAACGAGCTGACGACTGTTTGTCGATGATAAGATGTTTCGGAGGATGAAAACAAATCTTGTTTTGTTATGATTTGTAATGAATAACTACATCGTTTACTCTGAACAATGGCAATAAAACAAGCTACAAAAATAACTGCTTTTTGCAATGTTTTGAATATAGACTTTTTTAATACTACACGTTTTGTTTCTTCACTTTTTAAATGAAACGCATAAAGTACGTACGAAATAATTTATGAAAATCATCATAATTTTTGTTTTGCCAAACAAGCAAGAATGAGCACATTTTTGTCTTTGAGAGGGTGGCAATTGAGTTGACGGTCAACCTGATGTTAAGTGATGCGTCACCTATGGACATTTGCAAAACCCTTATGGTTGATAATGCGTTGCCATGTTTCAAAACAGTTGGCTCTAAAACTTCCCTCACCGAAATAAGAAGAAGTATAATAGATCTACTTCTCGTCGCTCGTCTATAATAATAACTAACATGCTTTCTAACTCTGAGTATCTGCATAGACACAACCTAGTAGCCAGAATCCTACACCAGGAGCTCGCTCTGAAATACGGCCTCGTGGAACGGAAACTGCCGTATTATAAGTACTCTCCGGAGGCCGTGCTCGAAAATGACCGCGCCAGGCTCTATTGGGACCGGTCCATCATCACGGACAGGACGATTGTCGCGAACAAACCTGATATCGTGTTGATGGACCGGGCACAGTCGCGGGTATTTTTGGTCGACATTACCATTCCATATGACGAGAACCTCGTGAAAGCCGAAACAGATAAGAAGACGAAGTATCTGGACCTGGCTCACGAGGTGACCGACATGTGGGGTGGTGTGCCGACCGAAATTATCCCGATAGTCGTGTCTGCGAATGGGTTGATCCCAGTCAGCCTCTCTAAACATCTGAGGCGACTGGGACTCCGGGACGGATCGCTCCAGGCTCAAATGCAGAAGGCGGTGCTCCTCGATACCGCCCGCATCGTCCGCCGGTTTCTCTCCCTTTCGCCCTAACCCTCGGCCGTTTGGTCTCCCCTGCCGAGGGCTTCCGTCTGGTTGGGTCCTATTTATATATGTATTATATAAAATATTTATTTATATATATATATATATATATATATATATATATATATATATATATATATATGTTTATTTTTATCCATAATATTTATTTTATATATGCAATATATATCTATATCTTTATTTTTATTTTTATTTATAAACCCAACCAGACGAGAAATAAATAAATGAATATCCCCCCAATAATAATAAAATATCTTTATTCACATAGACGCTTGCGCGTTCTTATGAAACGTCAAAATTTTACAAGAAATTAACACGTTCGTAAGTTACCACCGGTTCGGAAAGCAGTTTCTGTTGAGAAGAAACCGGCAAGAAACTCAACAGTTGCTCTTTTTTTTAATAGGCTTTAGCCATAAGTGTACTTTTAATTTTTCGTTTAAATTCATCAAGTGGCAGACAACATCGACTGTGGGATTTTATTATACATGCGCACACTTTGCCCCATGAACGATCTGTTTACTTTTTGTAGGCGAAATAATGGCGTAGTTAGTTTGTCCTTATTTCTAGTATTTAGTTTATGTCTGTCACTATTCTTTTGATAATTATTAATATTCTGTTTAACATACAAAATATTACAATAAATATATTGAGACGCAACAGTGAGTATATTAATCTCTTTAAAAAGATCTCTGAGTGTATTCCGGGCTCCGATGTTATAAATTGCTCGGACAGCTCTTTTTTGAATAATGAGGAATGAATCTATGAGGCCAAGTACCCCGAGACTGCCTATTTGTGCAACAGCTAACCCTGCTGTGGCCCTACCACAATTATAACGATTGATTAGTG